CAAAGTGGTAGAGTTAAAGAGTGCTTATGTTCAAGACGTTCTTTAGCAGGAATTTTGGGCTCCCTGAGATCCCATATGTGTATCTCGAAATTCTCTTATCGATTTAAGTGCCAATTATCGTCTCAGAGTACCTGCTTTGGTGTCTTGGTGCTTTCATAACTTACCTTCATCTCTTAAAAAAATTTATCAACTTCAATCGATATGAATCAAAACACTCCCAACTACGGGTCGAAATTGCATAAGTCTTCACCCAAGCTACCCCCAAAGAGCCCTCATTGATTAAAATACTCCTCAACAACTGTAACAGACACGTCTTGTTCCAACAATAGAGTGTCTTAAGGCCTAAATCACCTTCGAATCTCAGTAAACAAACACGGTTCTAGCTCGCTTTAGCACCCGACACAGAAGTATTGATCCTACTCACCACTCCCTTAGGAAGCACAAGCTATCTACACCAAAAGTTCACAATACCAAATTAAACGGATCGAATCAGCTGGAACCTTCTTGCATGGCTTAGGCAATGTTTTAACCAGTGATCAATCTTGCAGCGAATACTATTAATCAAAGGCTGACAATCCTTCTCCGTTGACTTCCTAGTGACCAACTGCACACCCGACTATCTAATCGGGAGCATACCAAGCTTAAACCCCGAACAAGATTGTATAATATATACTTTGATGTTATTGTCCGTTAAAGTTTGGTCTAACATGTTTCATTTGCTTTTGATTATGTTTGTATAAATTCTCTGGAATTTTCAAACTACGATTTATTGTTATGGATGATGATCATGCATATGTCTGGGAACAAAGATAAGATACCATTATTAAGTAGGATAAGTAGATTTATATTAAGACAATTGACATAAATGAATAAAATTAACATTATGATAAGTTTGAATAGGTATATGCACCTAGCATAGTGGTTATCATTCATAAGTGAATTAAGTGTTTGTGCTTAAGTATGATATGACCTTTGATAAGTTTTTATTTTTAACAAATTCTAAATCTAATCTTAATTTTTCTTAGTAGGTCTAGAATACACGATCTAAGGAAATATGAGAGAATAAAAATGAACAACTTGATCAGTCGGTCAAATATGTTTGCTCATGATTTGATTGTTGTTGATGGTAATATGGTTTCAGCACCGACCTATAGAAATGGATAAGGTTGATAATTTTAAGTCTCCTAATTGGTTTATAATGCAAGTTAGTCCACATATATTATAGATTTGACACTTTAGTCTTTAAATAAGGGAATAAAATATTAATTGCTTATTGATCTCTCAACTTTTATAAATCTATGAAAAGGTCCTTATATGATATAATTTGACTCGTGAATTCTATAATAAGTCAATAATGGTTTGACCCTTAAATGTATGTTTCACATACGTAGTGATTGACGGAGCCACATGTTGTTGATAACTGAAATATGAATTTTTTTCGGTTGGTTATTTATTTTATTGATAGTGTTTATCTTGAAATTTTATTTATATTCATCTCGTTCAAAGATTTTATGTTGTTAATATATGTGCGTCCACCCTAAAAAATATTTCTGGATCCGCCACCAGTAGTGAACGAATTGCATTAAAGAATTTAATTAAAGTGTGGCCTAAGCTTTCTAATGAAAATAAAATGAATATATAAGGTGATACTGATTTGATACTTGATCTAACCAAATGCTTAAGCTTTTGAAGATTTTCAATTTAGTCCCTGCTTTAATATTTGATATCAGTGTATATAAATTTGATTAAAAGTGTAAAATCGATAAATGAAAGGACCTACGAAGCTTGATCTTTGAGATTGGCTTTGGCTTTTCCTACCTAACTTAGTGGAAGGCGAAGAAAGCTTACTTTCGGGAGAGCCCGAGCCATCAGTGTGAGATTACTCTAAAAGAGTTAGAATTTTAATATTATATCAGGACCTACGGGTCAAGTGATAGTTTTAAGTAGACAATTTTTATGGGATGTAGTCTTACTTCTCAAAAGGTAACAGAAGTGTACAAAGGTTTTTTCACGCTGAACAGAGATTAACGCTCGAGATTAAAAAATCTCACTTATATTATTTCACCCATTTTATCCCCTCGAGTTTCCTCGTCCATATAAAGTTGTAGGAAAAATAATTTTCACATATAAGACATCCACCATATTATTTTATGAACTATAACTTCTTATTGGTCTGAAGATGCCGTGCACTCTTGGGATCTTCTCAATTTACCTGAATATGTCATACAGTCGTAGGGTCTTCTTCATTTGCCTGAAGACGTCATACAGTCGTGAAGTCTTCATATTTAGCTTGAAGACGCGTGAAACACCTGACATCTTTAAGTTGATACTGTTCAATTCACCCTATATATATGGGGAAATAATTTCCGAGGTGGATTATATTGGGAATTAAAAAAATCTCACTTATATTATCTTAGTCATTTTACCCCTCGAGGTGTAAAGACAGAATAAAATATGTTATATTTTTATTCAATATACGATTGAATCGAATAAAGGTGTATTGCAAAACAACTTTGAGAAAGAAAACTCTTTTAACGCAAAACCCGTATAGTCAAAAGCATATGCAGCTGGCGGGGTGGGGGGCGATATTTATCTGGCAAACTACGGTTGAAAATATTAGGCGCTTCAAATTTCCGAGGCAGACGACATGTTACACTTTATCTTGTTTTAAGGATACTTCCATTGAAATCTTAAGAAAACAGGAATAATTCAACATGGAGATACGTAGCACACAAGGTGCGGCAATACAGCATGGTTGTTACAACAATCAAATGAAACAAAGCACAACTCTTCCTAGCAAGGTTCTGCATAACTGGTTTCAGTTCTACAAAGACAATGTCTTGCGCAGATGGCGGTCCAATAATAGTTTCATGATAATCAAACATTTTTTCTGCAGTTTTTAAATATATTTGAATTTATAACCTTTTAAAAAATATTAAAGATATCGACTGAGTTAAAATTAAAAAACCAAGTACGTTTAATTAGAGTTTTTTTTTTAACAAAAGCCGATAATCTTATTAAAAAGCGAAAATATCTAAAATTACAATAAGGATTTCAACTATCATCATAAACTTAATATATATAATTTAAACATTTTCCTATAACATTGACACGAGAAACTAGTCACTTTCAATCATACACGGATAATACATGGAAAATGTTAAAAACTCAATAAAAAGACTTAAACGAAAAATATATACGAATAAATCTAACTACATTAGTATACGAACCACAAAAGAGAATTAAACTATTTAAATACCATTGAGAACCGCATATTAGAGTTGAGTGACCAGGGACGGAGCCAGAATTAAATATTGACAGGGGTCGGAATATTAGACTATTTAAGAAAAATATAAAGACTTATTAGGTATTTAAACTTAAAATTCAACATGAATCAAGCGACCTTAGTAATTAAGGGATTGTTGTTATCCTTGAGGTTCCGAGTTTAAACATGTATGTATGGATATGAGCGTTTATTATCAAATAGTTTAAAGTATTTGCATATATATTACATTGTATTCACCTTAAATAAATAAACTCAAAACTCAAAAGACAACTTCTAATTTGTCTAATATTTAAATTTACAATGACTTAAATTGTAATTAGAACAAAAATTTGATAACACGGACTTATCATTATTTAGTTCGACCCCTATTTGATTAAATGTTTAATAAATTTTTATATTTTTTTAAATTTAAATATTTATTTTTACATGAATTAAACCAAAATTATATCGAATATATAAATTTTAACATGGTCGAGGCTCCCTTGGGCCCTAAGAGAGCTCCGTCCTTGTGAATGACGTGAAAAACTATCCACAAACATAAACACACATATCACACTAACAAATTATTTAATCGATGAAAATTTGTTAAAATATATTAATTTACTTTTGTTTAATCAATTAAAAGGGATTTAATTACTTTTAAATGAAATTTTATCTAAAAATACACTTGGTTTTTAATATTATATTATCGTTAGTCCAAACATATTCTACAATCATCAATTCTAATTAACAATTATTTAAATATATTAGATTTATATTCGTAGAAGCGATTGTTTATAATTTTAAAATGTGTATCTAAACATTTGTTTGTATTAACATAGAAATTTCGTACGATTAAAATATATTAACTCAATTTAAAATATTAATAAAAAAACTTAAAAGTGTTAATACTACACTTTTATTTATTTTTAAGGGTTAATTACACTTTTAGTACCTAAATTAGCACTTTTGTTCCATTTCAATACCTAAAAATATTTGGTTTAGGTTTCAATTTGGTACCCGCAGTTAAAAAACTTAACGACATCAATGAAGTGAAATTATTTCCCCATTTTCAATATATCACGTGTCTTGTAATGTAAATTCCACGTCATCATTGTCATTTTAAGTTTTTAATGGCAGGGTATCAAATTTAAACCTAAATTAAATGTTAGATATGGTTTGGGAAAAAAACAAGTACTAAAATGGAACAAAACTGATATTTTAGATACTAAACATACAGTTTACATTTTTATAAAAAAAATACACAGTTATTTCTTGTAACAACCGTTAATAGCTTTGAGTGTGTGACAAAACATAATCAAGGTCAGGTGAGATTGGCTTAGGCTAACAGCAAAAACTGGCACGTTAAGTATGCTGCAATTTATGAGCAAAGTAACCGAAGCCGCGGCCAGTATAGGAAACGATTCAATCGAAACAGAAACTACTTTCTCCTGTACTGCGCTATTGTTGTGTGCCTTCATGTTAAAGCATTGATGCAATGAACTGAAATCCTCAATTTACCCTTTAAACCGTATAATAGCTGCTGCCAACCAACATTTATCAACTCTCGTCAAAAAGGCTTCTCTATGATCTTCCTATTCCTAATCCTAATCCTAATCCTAATCCTAATTCCTACCCACCATAGCTCTTAAACTATGGTCACCATCATTTTGCAGTTCCAGTTTCTCCTTTATGGCTGAACCCCCCCCCCCCAAAAAAAAAAAAAGAAAGAAAGAAAGAAAGAAACCCAGATATTGATGCGCTGAATTAGAGCAGAGATGTTAAAGAAGCCACAGAAGATCAGCATGTTTATAAAGAAGTGGTCGGAGCTTGATTGGCGTCTTCTCCTCTTAGTCATTGTTCCCCTTTCATTTTTCTTTTTTCTTTTTTCATTGTCGTCTACACATATCGCCTCTGTTGTCCCGCGCCAGTCTTTTAACTTCGGCAAAAACTCGTCGGATGTTAAAAGTTCGCGTCCCCACATGGCCGGCGGTGACCGGTGGAGGATCGCGGTGTGCTTGGTTGGTGGAGCAAGGCGGTTCGAGCTGACGGGACCCTCCATTGTGGAGAAGGTTCTTAAACGGTATCCCAATGCAGACCTTTTTTTGCATTGTCCAATGGACAAGAATGCCTTCAAGTTATCGCTTCTAAAAACTGCCCCTCGGCTCGCCACTGTTCGGATATTTGAGCAGAAACCAGTGCCGGAGACGGAGGAGCAAGTTCGCGTCCTCACGGCGGCCAACTCCCCTAGTGGTATCCAGGTGAAAACTGTTCACTTTCTCTACCAACTACTTTGGAAGGTTTTTACTTTTTTTTCCATATATATATATATTATAACTATCGATTTCATTTGAGCACTGATCCCCACTTGTCTTTGTTTATGTGACTTTTCTACTATTCTAAGAATATGTAATCTAAAATTCACGTTTCTCGTATGTAGGGTCTCCTACAGTATTTTAATTTGGTGGAGGGATGCATCACGATGATCGAATCACACCAAAAACAACACAATTTCACGTATGACTGGATCGTTCGCACCAGAGTAGACGGTTACTGGAGTGCACCGTTACATCCCAAAAATTTCGTGGCAGGTCGATACACCGTCCCTTCTGGCTCCGTATACGGTGGCATCAATGATCGCCTCGGTATCGGCGATTACTACACCTCCAAAGTGGCTCTCTCCCGACTTTCTCTCGTCCCCGAAATCGACAAGGCAGGGTATAGGCAACTGAACTCGGAATCTGCCTTCAAAGCTCAACTCACCGCCCTGAACATATCGTATATTGAAAATAGATTGCCGTTTTGCGTCGTGACGGATCGGACGTACGAGTTCCCCCCTGCCCATTTGGGTGTGCCGGTGGCGGCTATGTCGAGTCTGTGTCCACTGAGTGGTGCCAAATGCAGGCCATGCACTCCTGTTTGTAAAGACGGTTGCGTTGCCGACGTAATGTCGTCGCTTGACAACAGATGGAGCTGGACCGACTGGAGTAACGGGACTCTTGAGCTATGCAATGCTGAAGGCGGGTGGGAGAAGGGATGGGAGAAGGTTTTCGATAGAGTTGCGGGTAAAAAGCTCGGTCAGGAGAGGAAGCGAGTTAATGGTTTGAAGTTCGAGGAATGTGTTGGTGATTTTAGGGACATGATGAGAAGGGCTGCCAAGTGGGAGGCGCCAGCGGCGGAGGAGATTTGCGGATTGGGGCTGGGGATGACGCAAAAATGAATCTTTAAAATCAAAGCTTATTTAGTTTAGCTAGAGAGTAACTAATTTCGGAATTGTAAATTCTTTTTTAAATAATTTTAATAAAACAATTAAAATTAAAATTTTATTTTAAGATAAATTACACAAAATAATCCATTGATTTTTTTTATTGAGTCTTTCGATTATTAAAAGCTTTAAAATTATCTTTCGATTATAAGGTGATGTTTTGTTGAGTCCCTCAACTATTAAAAGTTATAAATAATCACCCGACTATTCATATGTTCTATATTTATCCTTTTTTGTTAAAAATTAACGATCGTCTGAGTTGAACGATAATATGTTGATTATGATATGATAAAATCATATTTTAATGATGTTTATTGGCACTGTCATTTCTTTCAATAATTGGTTCAACGACATAATGTTTGAAGTACTAATTCAACAACATAATGTAAATGAAAAGGTGGTCCACAAAATACAACTCAAATGGTTCTGGGATTAGATTTTATCGTATCTCATTCAATAGGTTAATATCCAGCTCAGAGACCACTAATTTTTTATCGAAAATGGACGAGTTTGAAACATATGAATAGTTAGGTGACTATTTTGAAACTTTTAATAGTTAGGGGCTCAATAAAGCAGCGTCATATAACTGGGGGACCATTTTGTAACTTTTAACAGTCAAGAGACTCAACAAAGTAACACATATAGTCATGAGACCATTTTGTAATTTTTTTTAATATCTGAGGAGCTCAACAAAGCAACATCCTATAATCAATAGGTTATTTGTATACTTTATCAATTATTTTAATACTTAAAATCCAAAAATCCAAACAAACATGTCCTCAATGACATCCTCTAAAACTAGTTTCAACATTGGGTAGAACAGTGGCATTAGATGTTTTCTTAAGGTAAATAGCTTGGTAATCCAACATTTCAACTAACCTATACCATGACGATTTGCTTTAAATAATAAATTAAGGTGGCTAAAAAATTATTGTCCCTTGTTCCCATATGTAGTGGGGTAAGGGGGAGGTAAGATAGTAGGCTGCCCCCAACACCAGGTTAAGAGCAGCTTCCGTAGAAGACCTCTGAATTATGAAATACCCTCCGTAGGACTCGATCCCACGACCTCAAGGTTAAGAACCTTATGCTCTACTAACTAAGCTGGATAGTCTATCTCAATTAAGGTGGCTAAGAGAGAAGGGAATTTGTAGACGCAACGCAAGGGGAAGAAATGATAAGTTTGATGGAGTGACATTGAAGTAGGAACGGTTGTTGAAAACCAACGGGTCAGTAACAAAAGTTGCAAGTGAGGGACTGGCAGCTCCTGAAACCGAACTATCAAATAGGCAAATATATGGTGATGTCTCACTAACACCATCCGCATGGGCCACCAATGCCTCATGTATGTATTTGGTCGTTCACTTGTCGTTTCTTTTTCACAGACCACTCTTTCTGCCTTTCATCAAATTATTTTTTCCTTTTATCTTGTTTTTATTGTTAGGATTCATACAATATGTAGACCAACTTTCTTACCCTTTTCACTTTACGTTATTCCTACTTTCGGTTGTACTTTTCATTTTACTAATCTATTGTTTATTTAATTTATTTAATATTTAATAGTCAAATAATCCCATGTATAGGTTAAAACTGTATGGTACAAATTTTAAAATAAAATTTAAATGTTAATATTTACTTGGAATATTTATTTTTCTAATTATTTGATTTATTAAATATTTAATGCTAGTAACCGCATTAGTAGTACGTCGCGTGGCCTATGACGGCGGGTGGCCTGGCCACAAGGCCCAATACCTTATATCCATTGCATTGCATATCAATCTGAGCCGTAATTACATTACATTAGAATTAAATAACTCTGATTTTATAGGCCCAAGCATCACCATTGCGTACGTTTCCATCCGGTGTACCGGTTCCATTCCTTCTTATTTTTTGGAAAATGGACAGTTCGTTTGGATTGGGTCTTCTCGACTTGTTATCTGCCAGTGGGTGCCTCAGCTTGGTATTTCAAACTTAGTCATTCTAGTTCAGTGGCATTACTCTCCAGGCACATTCAGTTCCAAACATTTTTATACTATTAGAAGTGATGTAAGATTTTTTTTAATTAATCATTAGTATTCAATCTATTAGTCGATTAATTCAGATCGAATTTTGTAGAGACTCGTTATGAGACGACCCTCTCAATCTTATTTGTTTCATTCGTAAATGTTAAGGTTTGAACCCAATATGACTATTGGTAAAGGGATGTAAGATTTTAAATTCACATTATTTTATTGAACTTTTTAATATTATTTGATTATGATAATATATAATTATTAATAAAAATAATATTATTTGAAAATATAAAAAATATTATAAATTTATAAGAATTTTGTTCATATATACAAGTTAAATTAATTTTTATCTAATAAAAAATAACTTTTATTAATTTTTTATTTTTATTTTTTTAAATAGAAACAACTACACATAGTGAAAATATCCAAAATTACAATAAAGAGTTTACAACTAGCATCATAAGCTAAAAACATAATTTGTATATTTTCCTATAACATTAAAACTAGCCACTTTAGATCATATAAGGACATACATGGAAAATGTTAAAATCCAAACCAAAAGACTCGAACAAAAAATAGATAGAGTAGATCTGACTGCATTGGAAACCAATCCAAAAAGGAAATTAAATTATTGAAAGAGTACCGAAAACAACAAATTAGAGCCGAGTGTCGTGAGAAACTATCTACGAACGTAAAATTTCATATTCAAATTCAATCTGATGGTCCATAATAGAGAAGATCAATTGGATTACAAATAAAAACCATCTTGATCAGTCGTAGTATCGTCAAATATAACTTTGAAAAAACACAAAATAAAAAAAAAACGACGAAATAATCGAAAAAAGACCCAAAAAAAATACTAAAACAAAAAAAAATGTCATAAAGACATATAAGAACAAAGAAAAAACCATTGTTTCTCTATAATGATTTTCATAAACGATTACTTGTTTTCCCTTGTCATTATTGTTTCTAATAAGATAGCGTATAATTACTGGCAGATACGGAGTCATGTATTTCCATCCATGAAGAAAGGCTAATCAGACGATTAATTTGAATCGGAAGTGCACTATTTAGTTGACTTAAAAAGATGGCCATCGCTGTTTATAATAATTACTATTAAAAGATTCTTAAGCTCCATGTAGTTCGGGTAGTTCTGCTGTATTATAGTCTTAATATAGAGTTAAGAAAAGATCTTATCGAAAATATTAATATTTTTTTAACATATATGGTAAAACGCTACTAAAACATTATTTTCTTACCGGAAATGTTAATTTCAATAACTAATTTCTGATAGAATCCAATATTAACATTTTTGATAAAAAAATATTTTAGATAGTACTTTACCGAAAATGTTAAATATTTTAGGTAGCGTCTAATATTAATATTATTTATAAAAAAAATAATATTTTAAGTAATATTTTACTAAAAATATTAAAAAAAATATTAATATTTTTAATAACGTATTTAATTAATTGTGTATTACCATGACACAACCTCATATAATCCTTCTTTTACCGCGTGAAACATTATAGTTTGGCTCTGCACAATCTTCTTTTAGTTGACTTCACGTAACAGCTAAAGTTTGCTCGTGCGTGCGCCTTAGTGGTCCGGTCCACCCTTTATATAATATACACCATTTTTCAATTTCCCTGTCAAGGTACACGACTCCGAGTGAAGCCCAAACACAAACCACATCAAATAGACCCAAAAAATTGGTTGGCGTTTTCAGGCGTTCGCTCTCTTTCCCAAACAAACCCCTGAATCGTCCATCTAAACCACCGATTTCTCAACACTTGAGATCCATCTCTCTTCCATGTAGATCACACCCTTTGATTTCCCAACTCAAAGACGAAATCACTGAGCTCAAAACGTGGTCGTCCAATCCCGATAACCGAAACTCAGCTTTGCTTTGTGATGGTTTAAGTCGCCTAAAGGACGTTCAGGATTCCCTCCACGATATCCTTCAGCTCTCACAGACCCAGGAGTTTTTAAGCCATGAGCGTGAATGGGTTGAGAAACTCCTCGAAGATTTCCTACGTTTTGTTGATGCTTACGGTGTCTTCCAAACATCGTTTCTCTCGCTCAAAGAAGAGCAACTTGCGGCGAGGGTGGCTCTAAGGAGAAAAGACGACTCAAAAAATGGGTCTAAAATTTTAATATTCATATTTTAAAAAATTTGGGTATGTAATTTTTTTTATTAATAAATTAAATTAAATATTTTTCTTAAAATAATAGGTGTATTCGACATACTCATTCCCTGCATCAACTACATTATCTATTGCGGAAACTGAGCTGACCGGTGTTATCAGCGATGTTATTGAAGTGACAGTTTCGGTTTCCGTGGCACTTTTCAGTGGAATTTTCATGCTGTTTTCTTCTAAAAAATCGTCTTGGATGGGATTGACTCGGTCGAAGAAAGCCAACAATGTAACATCCCAAATCAGGGTCAGTGACTAAATTGCAAATTTTGGAAACTGTGTTCTCAATTTTGAAATAAGTTAAAAGTGTTGGGATTTAAGTAAAGAATTTTGATGATGGATTGAATAGCATAGATGGATAATTAAAGGGGTAATTTAGTCTTTTCAGATTAAAGGATATTTTGTATTTCCTTTAAATACAGGTGATATACGTGGGTTTTGGGAGAGTTCTGGAAGCCTTCTTCTTGCTCTCTTCTTCTTCTTCTCGTAGCTCCAGCTTAAAGGTAAGTGGGTCTTTAGTTGGTTAATTCTTTCGTTTTAAAGCTTGTTTTGATTCTTGGGATATTAAGAAAGATTAAGGAAAGCTTTAGGTGGCTTAAACCTCAAAGATTAACAAGTTATGAGAAATTAAGAAAAATGAGTTTTTAAGTGAATTTTTGATATGGAAGGAGATAGTAGATTGTGAAGTTGAATTTGACTTGTCAAGGGTTAAATTAAGAGATATGAAGTGATAGAATGGGTTTTAGAACATGTTGGAAATTTAGTGTGATTCTTGAATGCCATGTAAATGATAGAATTTTGAGTTGAAAGAAGTGATTATGGAGT